CCATAAATGATAGGTAAACGCTGGAATTTGCATACTTTAACGCTATAATTCTTATCTGTTATCAGAGTGCAATAACACTACTGAATAAATATAGATAAATATGAATAATATAAGATTTAGAATACTCTCTTTACTCATTGCATTTCATTATTTACTAATCATTGCTACAATTTCTGAGTAATATTCAAATGAATGAAAATGGATAACGGGGATGCCATCCGAAAATTAGTGAAATGTGCCTAAAATCAAGAAATATGACAAGTGCTTTACTCTGAACTGTCGTCTCTATTGCATTCTAATAGACTGGCACTGTACTTGGTTTTTATGGGTTATATTTCTTATACTATACTATATTCTTTTGTAGCTCAAGAGTTAATTTTGAACACCAATCGGAGTGCCGGGAGTATTTTTCTTCGAGGACGAAAGAAGCATTTTCCAAGAGTTATTTGGAAAACAAATCGGGAAGTGCAGGATGAGTATTTTCTCCGAGAGAGACGAGCCCATCCTTAAGAGTTCTTTTATCTCGCCAGGAACTTAATTCGGTATAGTTGCCAGGAGAGTATTTTCTTCCCAGGAGAGACGACGAAGCATTTCTCAGGGTTATTTTATCCTGCCAGACTTCAATCGGTCTGAGTTGCCAGGAGAGAGTTCCTTCCCAGGAGAGACGAACGAAGCGATTTCCTTCAGGAGTGTGTCATTTTTCCTCGCAGACTCAATCGGAGTTGCCAGGGAGAGTATTTTCTTCCAGGAGAGCAACGAAGCAATTTCCTTCAGGAGTTCTTTTATCCTTCGCCAGAACTTCAAATGGAGTGCAGGGAGAGTTATTTTCTCTTCCCGCGAGACGACGAAGCAATTTCTTCAGTTCTTTTATCTCCGCCAGACCTTCAATGCAAGTGCCGGCGAGTATTTTCTTTCCAGCCGAGACGAACGAAAGCAATTTCCTTCGGAGTTCATTTTATTCCTCGCCAGGAACTTCAAATCGGGTGCCAGTGAGGTATTTTCCTTCCCAGCGGAGACGAAGCAAATTTTTCTTCAGTTCATTTTATCTCGCCAGAACCTTCAATCGGAGTGCAGGAGAGTATTTTCCTTCCAAGCGAGACGACGAAGCAATTTCCTTAGGAGTTCTTTTTCCTTCCAGACTTCAATCGGCACCCGATATGAATATGTGCCAGGAGAGTATTTCCTTCCAAGAACGAGCACGAACGAAGCATTTCTCAGGAGTTCATTTTATCCTCGCCAGAACTTCAAATCGAGTCAGTGCCAGAGAGTATTTTCCTTCCAGGAGAGACGAACGAAGCAATTTCCTTCAGAGTCATTTTATCTGCCAGACCTCAAATCGGGTGCAGGAGAGTATTTTCCTCCCAGCGAGGACGAACGAAGCAAATTTCGCTTCAGTTCATTATCGTCGCCGAACCTTCAAATCGAGTGCGAGAGAGTATTATTCACTTCCCAGCGAGACGAACGAAGCAATTTCCTTCAGGAGTTATTTTATCCTCGCCAGAACCTCAAATCGGAGTGCCAGGAGAGTATTTCCTTCCCAAGGAGAGACGAAACGAAGCAATTTCCTTCAGGAGTTCATTTTTTCTCGCCAGAACTTCAAGATCCGGAGTGCCAGGAGAGTATTTTTCCTTTCCCGAGAGACGACGAAGCAATTTCCTTCAGGAGTTCATTTTTTATCCTGCCAGAACCTTCAAATCGGAGTGCCAGGAGTATTTCCTTCCCAGGGAGGACGAACGAAGCATTTCCTTCAGGAGTTTTTATCCAGCAGAACCTTCAAAGTCGGAGTGCCAGGTAGAGTATTCCTTCCCAGGGAGACGCGAAGCAATTTCCTTCAGGATTCATTTTATCCTCGCCAGAACTTCAAATCGAGTGCCAGGAGAGTATTTTCTTCCCAGAGACGAACGAAGCAATTTCTTCGGGAGTTCATTTTTATTCGCAGAACTTCAAATCGGAAGTGCCAGGAGAGTATTTTCCTCCCAGCGAGACGAAGAAACATTCCTTTCCGGAGTTCATTTATCAGAATTTTTAATTTCCTTCCCAGGAGAGACGAAACGAGAACAGAATCCTCATCGGAGTGCCAGAGAGTGCGAGACAAGGCAGAGTTTTTCTTTCAAACCCAGTGCCAGGAGACGAACGAAGCAATTTCCTTCAGGAGTTCATTTATCCTCGCAGAACCTTCAAATCGGAGTGAGGAGAGTATTTTTCCTTCCCAAGCGAGACGAACGAAGCAATTTCCTTCAGTTCATTTTATCCTCGCCAGAGACTTCAAATCGGGTGCAGGAGGTATTTTCCTTCCCAGCGAGCGAGAAGCATTTCTTCAGGAGTTCATTTATCCCTGCCAACCTTCAATCGAGGAGAGTATTTTCTTCCCAGGAAGACGAACGAAGCTTTCTTCAAGAGTTCTTTTATTCGCTTCAGAACTTAAAATCGGAGTGCCAGGAGGTATTTTACTCCAACGAAACGAAGCAATTTCCTTCAGGAGTTCATTTTATCCTCGCCAGAAACTTCAAATCGGAGTGCCAGGAGAGTATTTTCCTTCCAAGCGAGACGAACGAAGCAATTTCTTAGGAGTTCATTTTATCCTCGCCAGACCTTCAAATCGGAGTGCAAGGGAGTATTTTTCCTTCCAGCGAGACGAACGAATTTTCCTTCGTTCATTTTATCCTCGCCAGAACCTTCAATCGGGAGTGCCAGGAGAGTATTTTGCCTTCAAGCGAGACGAACGAGCAATTTCCCTTCAGTTCATTTTATTCCCTGCGCAGAACTTCAATCGGCAGTTGCCAGGAGAGTAGTTTTCATTCAAGCGAGCGACAGCCAATTTTCAGGAGTTCATTTATCCTCGCCAGAACCTTCAATCGGAAGTGCCAGGAGAGTATTTTCTTCAGCGGAGTACAAACGAAGCATTTCCTTCAGTAGTTCATTCTATTCTCGCCAGACTTCAATCGGAGTGCAGGGAGTATTTTCCTTCCAGGGAGACGAACGGAAGCATTTTCGGAGTTATTTATACTCGCCAGAATTCAAATCGGATGCAGGAGAGAGTATTTTCCTTTCGGAGACGACGAAGCATTTCCTTCAGGATGTTCTTCTATCTCCGCCAGACTTCATCGGGTGCGGGGTATTTTTCCTCCCAGAAGTACGGAACGAAGCATTTCCTGTCAGGAATTCATTTATCCTGCAGAACTTCAAATCGGGTGCCAGGAGAGTTTTTCCTTCCAGGAGAGACGACGAACGCAATTGCTCAGGAGTTCATTTAATCCTCGCCAGAACTTCAAATCGGAGTGCCAGGAGAGTATTTTCCTTCCCAGGAGAGACGAACGAAGCAATTGCTTAGGAGTTATTTTTATCCTGCCAGATTCCAATCCCGGGTGCCGGAGGAGATTTCTTTTCCAGGGACGACGAGAATTTCCTTCAGGAGTTATTTTCTCGCGAACTTCAAATCCGGGAGTGGCCAGGAGGAGTATTTTCTGTCCCAGGTGAGGCGAACGAAGCCTTTTCTTCAAGAGTTCATTTTATCCTCGCCAGAACCTTCATCGGGAGTGCAGTGAGGTATTTTCTTCCCAGGAGAGACGAACGAGCAATTTTTTCAGAGTTCTTTTTCCTCGCCCAGAAACTTCAAATCGGGAGTGCCAGGAGTATTTTCCTTCCAGGAGGACGAACGAAGCAATTTCCTTCAGGAGTTCATTTTATCCTCGCCAGAACTTCAAATCGGAGTGCCAGGAGAGTATTTTCTTCCCAGGAGAGACAACGACAGCCACTTGTTCCTTCAAGTAGTTCAATTTTATCCTCGCCAGAACCTTCAAATCGGAGTGCCAGGAGAGTATTTTCCTTCCAGGAGAGACGAACGAAGCAATTTCCTTAGGAGTATTTTATCTGCCAGAAACTTTCAATCGGAGTGCCAGAGGATTTTTCCTTCCAGAGAGAACGAAGCAATTTCCTTCAGAGTTCTTTTATCCTCGCAGAAACTTCAAATCGGAGTGCCAGGAGAGTATTTTCCTTCCCAGGAGAGACGAAACGAAGCATTTCCTTCGAGTTCATTTTTTATCTCGCCAGACTTCTTCCCAGAGTATTTTCCTTCGGAGAGGACGAAGAAGCAATTTCTTCAGAGTTCATTTTCTCGCAATCGAGTGCAGGAGAGTATTTTCCTTCCCAGAAGACGAAACGAAGCAATTTCCTTCAGGAGTTCATTTTATCCTCGCCAGAACCTTCAAATCGGAGTGCCAGGAGAGTATTCCCAGAGAGACGACGAAGCATTTCCTTCAGGGTCCCTTGTCATAGTTCCTTCGCCAAAAGAATTCCCGACTTCAAATCGGAGTGCAGGAGGATTTTCCTTCCGCCGGAAGAGAATCCTCCAGAACGAAGTGCCAGGAATTTTCCTTCAGGAGGACGAAGAAGCATTTCTTAGAGTCATTATCCTCGCCAGAACCTTCAAATCGGAGTGCCAGGGAGTATTTTCCTTCCCAGGAGAGACGAACGAAGCAATTTCCTTCAGGAGTCTTTTATCCTCGCCAGAACTTCAAAATCGAGTGCCAGGGAGAGTATTTTCCTTCCCAAGCGGGCGACGAAGCATGCAACCCGACCAAAACATTACGACTGAGGACCGAGCTCGCTAAGATGCGTCACCAAGTCCATTCGTCTGGCGCGGTAAAACAGAATGTGGGCTTTATCGATGTTGGCCTCAACATCATGCTTAACATAAGAGTCGTCGAAAAGGGTCCACTTGCCAGATGGGTCCATGTGGTGGGCTATGTAGTGGCCGCCAGTCATCCTGCCTTGGTGGGTGCAGGAAGCATACAGCTCGTACTCCTGTCCTCTGTAGTGGGATTAAGGCTGCTGTTAGATTATTATGGCCATTCTGAACGTGACTAGTTCTTCGAAAGGAAGCATTTTAATGTGATATATACACATGATCTTTTGTATGTATATGTATGCGCGCATATTTATCGCAATCTGCACACACATACAAAACTACATAGTGTAATATGTATCTATGTAGATAGACG